GTTGGTGATTCTGATGATGATGCTGATCAGGAGGAGAATGAGGAAGAGGAGGACAAAGAGGAAGAGGAGGAGGAGGAGGAGGAGGAAGGAGAGGGAGGAAGGGGACGGAGAAGGGAGGAGGAGGAGAAGGAGGAGGGAGGAGGAGGAGGAGGGGGGAGGGTGAGGATGAGGAGCAGGAGAAGAGGAGCAGGAGGAGGAGAGGACGAGGAAAGAGAGGAGGAGGAGGAGGAGGACGAGGAGGAGGAGGAGGAGGAGAGGAGGAGAGGAGGAGGAGGGAGGGGGGGAGAAGTAGGGGGAGGAGGAGGAGGGAGGAGGAGGAGGAGGAGGAGGAGGAGGAGGAGGAGGAGCAGGAGGACGAGAAGGAGGAATTGCAGGAGGACAAGGCGGAAGGGGAGGAGCAGCAGGAGGAGGAGGAGGAGGAGGAGGAAGGGGAATATGGTGTTAATGGCGTCGACGACGACGATGATGATGATGATGACGCTGCTGATGCTGATGTTGATGATGATGATGATGATGATGATGATGATGATGATGATGCTGATGATGATGATGATGCTGATGACGATGATGACGATGGTGATGATCATGCTGCCGGTGACGATGATCCTTATGCTGGTGATGACGACGATGTTGATGCTGCTGATGATGATGATGCTGTTGCGGAGTATGAAGATGGTAATGATGCTGATGCTGATGATGATTCCGACGACGCTGATGATGTTGATGATGATGATGATGGTGATGATGTTGATGCTGATGACGGTGATGATGATGTTGTTGGTAATGATGATGAGCTTGCCGCTGGCAATGCTGATGATGATGATGATGATGATGATGATGATGATGATGATGATGATGATCATCATGGTGATGACAAGGATGGAGCGGACGAGGTGGAGAGTGAAGAGGTGGAGGATGGGGAGAAGGAGGAGGAGGAGGAGGAAGGAGGACGAGGAGGAGGATGAGGAGGAGGAGGAGGACAAGGAGGACAAACAGAAGGAGGCGGAGGAGGAGGAGGCGGAGGAGGAAGAGGAGGCCGAGGAAGAGGAGGAAGAGGATGCTGATGTTGATGACGACGACGATGATGCTGCTGATGATGATAATGATGATGCTGATGATGATGATGATGATGATGATGACGATGATGATGATGATGATGATGATGATGATGATGATGATGATGATGATGATGGTGATATTGATGATTCTTGTGCTGATGCTGCTGCTGATGATGATGCGGATGCTGGGGGAGGAGGTAAAGTGTGGGGACGAGGAGGAGGAGGCGGAGGAGGGAGATGACGCCGAGGAACAGGATGTTGTTGTTGCTGCTGATCATGGTAATGCTGGTGATGCTGACGATGATGATGATGATGATGCTGATGATGATGATGATGATGATGATGCTGATGATGATGATGATGATGCTGATGCTGATGATGATGCAAATGCTGATGATGATAATGATGATGACAATGTTGTGTTGATGATGGTGATGAGGATGCTAATGATGATGCTGATGATGCTGCTGATGATGATGATGGTGACGATGTTGATGCTGATGATGATGAGGATGATGATGCTGTTGATGACCATGATACTGATAATGATGCTGATACTGATACTGAGGATGATGATGCTGATGAAGATAATCTGATGCTGCTGATGATGATGATGAGGATGATGATGAGGATGAGGATGAGGATGAGGATGGGGATGAGGATGCGCAGGAGCAGGGGCAGGATGAGGATGAGGAGGAGGAGGAGGCGGAGGAGGAGGAGGAGGTGGTGGTGGAAGAGGGCAAGGATGAGGCGGACGAGGCGGGAGAGGAGGAGGACGAAGAGGATGAAGAGGATGAAGAGGATGATGCTGATGCTGCTGACAATGATGATGATAATGATGATAATGATTATGATGATGACGACGAAGATCATGATGATGATGATGATGATGATGATGAGGATGACGATGATGATGATGGAACTGATGAGTCTGATGATGATGACCATGATGAGTATGATGATGATGATGATGATGATGATGATGATGATGATGATGGTGATGATGCTGATGATGATGATGCTGATGATGCTGATGATGATGATGCTGGTGATTCTGATGATGATGATGCTGATGATGATACTGATGATGATGATGCTGATGATGATAATCAGGAGGAGGAGGAGGAGGACAAGGAGGAAGAGGAGGAGGAGGATGAGGAGGAGGAGTTGGAGGAGGGAGAGGAGGAGAAGGAGGAGGAGGAGGAGGAGGGGGAGGAGGAGGAGGAGGAGGAGGAGGAGGGTGTGGAGGAAGATGGAAGAATGATGATGATGATGATGATGTGATGATGATGATGATGATGATGATGATTGATGATGATGATGATGATGATGATGATGATGATGATGATGATGATGATGATGATGATGATGATGATGATGATGATGATGATGATGATGATCAGGAGGATCAGGAGGATCAGGAGGATCAAGGGGAGGAGGAG